CAGCACCATCACCCTCACCATCACCATCATCACCATCATCAGCACCATCACCATCATCATCACCATCACCATCACCGTCATCAGCAACCACCACCATCATCACTGTCGTCATTGTCGTAATCGTCACCACCATCATCATCACCAGCATCATCATCATCAGCATCAGCATCAGCATCAGCATCAGCATCATCATCATCAGCATCATCATCAGCACCATGCGCATGCGGCTCCCCTCTCATTTCGGGCACACACACACACACACCTCACACGTTTCGTTGCCCCTCAGGGAGCTCCACCGTAGGCCCCAGAGGCATCGTCCACATGTGGGTGCCACGCCTGTTTCGGCCCACCCTGGGCATTAGTGAGAGGAGGTGCATGCGGGTATGCGCCCAATTCGGCACACCCCTCATGCGGGTCGTGCCCCAGGGGGAGCTCCAACGTCGGCACACTTGAGAGGGTTTGCATGCCGCTGGCCCGCACCATATCCTGAACACCCACCCGCGGCCTGGGAGCAGGTGTAGGCGCACACGTAGTGAGCATCTACTAGGATGGTCAGGTATCTGCATGCCTGCGTGGTCGTGATCGTTGGGGCGTTAGACCACCCCACGTATGGTGTCACATTCGTCCCGCACTCGCTCCCCGCCATCCGTTTGCCTTGCCCGTGCCTCGACGATGGTCAGGATCATGCTCGCGCAGCTCGAGCACCCCAACATTGTCAGGAGATGCCTCGCGATCCGTGATCTGGGGGGCGGGGCTGGCGCATCTGTCGTGCGGCAAGAGCGATTGGAAGCGAGACGTCGCGCGGACGGCGTGGCGGCAGCGGAAGGAGTCGCCACTTGTGAAGGTTTGTAGTTGCGCGGTCCGAGAGTGACGGCAATGTTGGCATCAGTGGGCGGTGGTCATGTAGAGGATGGTGATGTTGATGATCATTTTGGGGTGAGGATTAGGCAGTACAATGTTGAGGCAAGACACGTCATGAGAAAGTACACGACGACAGGCAGATATTACACGAGGCGAGGCGAGACGATGTAATGCTATATGCGGTGATGCGAGGTGGCGCTAGGCACGACAAGGCAAGACACGGCACAACTGGATCGGACAAGTCAGGGCAAAGGAACGCAAGGGAAAACAGGCGATCCAACGCACGACCATCGCATGATCCCATTGACAGTTATTATAGCATGGTGCTAACGGAATCGCGGCTGTATCATTATCAGCGTGATATAGTATTTGGGTTGAGCATTGCAAGCCTTGGCTCGCATGTGGTGCAGCAGATGCTGCCACAGGAGGCGTTGCAGCAGCCGTCTGTGTATTGTTAGGCACGGGCAGTTGCCGTCCTCGAGATGGTGGGCCATGCTTCCATCTACAAAGCGTATGCAACTTATGCAGCTGGTCGCGTCGCAGGTCAGACAATACCCGTACGACCACCCTTCGGGTGATAAAGAGGTTTGGGGGGGAAGCAACTTTACACCCTAAACCCTAAATAAACCCTAAACCCCAAACCCTAAACCGATGGTTGTGATGATGACGAAACCCATGCAGCCACCTTCAGCCTGGAACGCCCAAACCCGGGCACCCTCCCTTGACCGCTCTCGCGCGGCCAGGTGGCACCACGGGGCACATCGCGAGATGCCGACGCCGTCGCTGCAGCCTTCCACCGCGAACGCCCGCACCCGGGCACCCCCCTTGGACCCCTCGCGCGGCCAGGGACACCCCAGAGATGCCGTCGCCGCCGTGGTGTCAAGCCCCTACAGATTTTTTCGGGCCCCCAGCCCCGCGGCCTCCGAGGGCCAGGAAGCAAAAGGGGGAAGCAGGAGGGTGTGAGGGTGTGGATGCAAGGGGAGAGGCGAGGAAAGGGGCGGAGGGAGAAAGAATATCGAGGAACTGGAGGTAAAAGCAGGAGAACGGGTGGCGTTTATTTGGCCCCCGGGCGCTCGCGACGCTGAAATAAATTCGCCCGGCAGAGCCTGGGTGTGTCGACCCCAATGCCGATTCATTGTGGATTGCCCCATCGACCTCCCTCTGTCGCGGTCGGTGTCCCTATCGGGTGTCCCTCTTATCGGTGTTCGTCAATCGATTTCACTTGCCCGATCACCTTTACTCGATGTCATGATCGGTTTTGTTCGATCAATATCACTGTCAATCCCCTGGCCGGTGATGGTGACATTGGGAACCGTTTGGCGTATCTGATTGGGTTCTCTGTGATCTCACCTCCCAAGTGTCCCTATCGATCTCACTAGCAAGGCTGGAAACCACCCGGATTCTATCGGGACACCACCAGGGTATCATCGGGGCACCAACAGGGCACCGTGCAGACACCACAGGGACACTTCAGGACACCATCGGAACACCACTCGGGGCACTTATCGGGACACCACCAGGACACCATCGAGACACCATCACCAGGACACCATCAGGACACCAATCAGGACGCCAATCGGGACACCGATGGGACACCGACCGCATAAATTCAGCAGGTCACCGACCATACACCAACGGGACCCCGACGGGACCCCGACGAGACACCGACGGGACACCGACGGGACACCGACGGGACATTGACGGGACACCGACGGGACACCGACCGGACACCGTTGGGCCACCGACGGGACACCGACGGGACACCGACGGGACACTGATGGGACACCGGCGGGACAACGGCGGGATAGCATATTTGGACATCCCCAGCCAATGTCCGCCCACCAGGGGGGAAGGCCGGACAATTGTGTTGCCCCGCCCTAGCCATAGCGAAGTCATTCTTCTCGCCCGCCCACGCGCATTCGCCTCGCCCGCACGCACGACACGAACCCGAAACCGTAACCAATTTCCTGGTGTGGGGCTCTCCGTTCCACTTATTCGAGCCTCCGATTCCGAATGGTCTTGTCTCTGATCGGGTGAGTGGTGCACACGCACACGGTACATGCCGACGCAAGTACAGGCTGTCGCCAATTCCGAGATTGCGGTTCTTGCCATTGGGGCGTGCCCAGAGCGACTTTGCACGTGTCGCCCCCGTGAAGCCTTGTGGGGCACTTGTGCGGTCCAGGGCAAGCTCTTTCGGGCGCTCTGGCCTCCTCTTCTCTCCCTCCTTGGCATCGTTCGGACGTGTGCATTTTGTCTCGGTGAGGACCACCGAGGGGCATCCTGGATCATCGTGCAAAAATGAAGGCACGAAACCGAAACATGCACGGGAAATGGATGCCCGAGCGACGGCAAGTGTCTCCCGCCTGTCCTTTTCCCCTGGTCCTACCCTTCTCGCCCCTCGTCGCCCCAGAGTTCCCACGGGTAGGGCGTGTGAGCTCGGACCCGCCGCCCCGACGAGCCCAGCCCCCTCGCCCGGGCTGCCTCGTGAAACCCTGCAGTGCTGGGCCCGCTGTGTCGTTGCTGTGTCTTTGCGCCTTCCCAGGCTGCTTGCGGCCTCTCGGACCGGTCTCAGTGGAGCAGACACTTAGTCTCGGGGGCGGCAAAGAGGGGGGTGATGACCAGGGGGGGGGGTATCATGGCGGGGGCCATGATATTTCCCCAGGTTTCATGGCGCCTCTTCTTATTTCGTTACGTCCCTGGCACCCCGCGCGCATGCCGCCGGTCATGATTTGCACCCCCCTCTTGGACGCCCCCCTCTTGGCCGCTCCTAATAGTCGTGCCAGAATCGCGACTGGAACATGAGAGAAGCTCAGGCGACAGGCCCATGACAAAACCACGACAGGCACGCAGCAGCCAGATGGCAGTCCAGGTCCAGATTTGCTCACTCCGACCGTCGTCTCTGGCCACCGGATCTCAGAATGTTCCGTGCCTCTCAGGATGTACGAGTGCTTCCAGGACGCAGCCAAGAGCTTCCCTGATTGCCTCTGCTAATATAATCGGACTTGTTGGCAGTCGTTGGGTTCCACCCTTCTACTCTCGAATGCGCATGTTCGCAGCTTTGTGTTCATGCGCATCCCATGTGCCATGGTAAGAGCCGTCGTCCCAACAACACTCGATTGCCAGTAGCTGCGGGCGTGTGTACTCGCATACGCACGTGTCTGTGTGAGCGTGTGTGTGTGAGAGAGAGTGCGTGTGTGTGTGTGTGTGTGTGTGTGTGTGTGTGTGTGTGTGTAAGTCTCTCTCTCTCTCTCTTTCTATCTCTTTCTACCGAGGGTTGCTAGGGGTGCCCCTGGCCCAAGGTGCCCCTAGCTTTTCGCTCAATCCTGGAGCCCCTGGGGCCCTCTCGGCCTCGCGAGGGGTGCTCTGGAGGCCGTGCGGGGCCTCCTTGGGAATCCTGGGGGACACCTTGGGCCAGGGGCACTTCTGGCCACACCCGACTCTCTTTTTTTTTTGTTTCTCTCTCTCTCTCTTTCTCGGCCGCTCTGCTGAGGCCCCGGCCGCCCTCGTTGGGCTCTTGAAATTGGGTGGCAGTCCCGCCGCGTCGCTGCGCGCGCGGCAGCGACGCCAGAGAGTGTGTGTGTGTGTGTAGTTGCATTGCGATGGTTCGCGTCCCTTTCTATCAATCGCGACGGTATTGTCACCTCGCCAGCGAAGAACACGTGTGCGTGCGCGTGTGCGTGTGCGTGTGCAGTGTGTACATGTTTGTGTGTGTGTTTGTTTGTGTGTATGTGTGTGCGTGCGTGCGCGTGCGCGTGCACGTGCTTGTGTGTGTATGTGTGTGAGGGTGTGTGTGTGTGTGTGTGCATGCGTGTACGTTGTTTTCACGCCTGTACATTGCATTGTCTGGTTCCCCTCTGTCGTGCCTGGGGCCTCTGCGTTCCACCTCCCATCCGCGTGATCGGCGGTTATGCGGAGTCACGCGGAGCGACAAAATATTGTAGTCAAGAGATGACGGTCTGGTGAGACAGAGTTGGCACAGCAGACGCCAGAAACAAACACGTTGACGCTCTAACGCTCCTGCCGCTCATGACGCTCTCTGATTCTCTGACGCTCTGGGGTGCCAGGAGCGTCAGGAGCTCTCTTGGGCGTCGGGAGCGTCGGGATCCGAGCTTCAGGAGCGTTGTTAGCGTCGGCACCTCATGGCCGCTCTCTTCGCTTCCTATCCTGCGAGAGGCTGGGGCCTGGAGCCTCGTGCCGAGGAGCCCAGCAGGCTGTGCATCGTGCTGGAGCTGTGCCGTGCGCTCGGCTTGTGAGGTTGGAGCTCTCGGATGATTTGGCCGCGGTCGTGCGCGTCGGGTTTGGGGCGTAGAGGAAGAAGCCGTGCGCCCCCGCCCCGACGGGAGCGGGAAGGTGGCTGAGGAGGAGGAGGAGGATGGGGTTTGGGGAGGTGGTGGTGGTACAGTCGGGCCGAGGTATCAGATCGAGGACGGTTCGGGGAGGGTGCCCTAAGGTTCTTCATGCTTGTTGGATGTGCTTGTGCATCCTGGGCAGGGCACCCTTGGATGTTCTGTGTGTTTTGGCCGGTGAAGGGTCTCATGTTTTCGAAGGATGATATGATGTCTTACGTCTGGCTGTAGCAGGAATGCGCACGGTTGTATTGTCTGAGCCTTCTGTGTTTCGCATCGAGGCCCGGGTCGTGCCAGAATGCGCATTCCGTTATGCAGCAGCACCTGGCTACCTTGTGTTCGTCTAAAATCCCTCATGCTATTATCCTTCCCCTCTACTCCATGCTCTGCGTTGTTATCCACACCGCCTAGCACACGCATACCACACCAGGGCATTGCCCCCTCCGGGCATCGTTACATGGGCCCCGAGGCGAACCTGTAGGCTGACGGTTTATTTACCTGGAGAGATGAGAGCTTACTCCCTCTGAACACATACACCCGCGAACTGTCAGCACTGTGCTTTTGGAGAGTGCGCTTGGAATGGGGGGTGGCTGGCAAATGTCAAAATCCTTCAACAAACTTCGGAAAATCACTCTTTTTGGCCTTTCTGGCCTTCCTGGAGGCCCCCTTGGAGGCCTCTTGGGCCGTCTTGGGCCAGCTGCGAGCCACCTTCGGCCATCTTGGTGGGCTCCTGGCCCGTCTGACGCCGTCGGAAGCCGTTTGGGGGGCGTTTCTGGGCCGCCTTGGGGCCTTCTTGGAGTGCTCCAGGGCCGTCTTAGAGGCCATCTTGAGCGTGTTGGAGGCCTCTTGGGCCGTCTTGGGGCCCTCTTGGGGCCGTCTTGAGGGGCCTCTCGGGCCGTCAGGGGGCTATCTTGGAGGCCTCTTGGGCGATCTTGGGGCGACCTTGGGGGCGTCTTGGGCCGTCTTGGGCTGTCGGAAAGCCGAAAAGGCGCAAATGCCAAAATCCTTCAAACACCTAAGGCAAATCAATGATTTTCGCCTCTTCGGGCCTTCCTGGAGGACCTCTTGGAGGCCTCTTGGGTCGCCTTGGAGGCCTCTTGGAAGCCTCTTGGGCCGTTTTGTGCCATCTTAAGGCCATTTTAGGCCGTCTTGGGTGCATTTTGGGCCGTCTTGTAGGCATCTTGGGGCAATCTTAGCCGTCTTAGAGGCCATCTTGGCCGTCTTGGAGGCGTCTTGGAGGCCATCTTGGAGCCGTCTGGAACGGAAAAAACCTTTGCAACCGGGTCCGGGCAATCTTTCGGCATCCTTCCGGATGGCCGACGGGACGGGCCGAAGCCCCAGGGGGAGTTGTTTTGGACAAATAACCCAAACCAAAAGCCATATCTTCTGGCACGCCAGGCACCCTTTTGATAAATCAAAATGGGGCGGCGGATCGAATGGCCGTCGGCCCATCCCGCCACCGTACCTCGGATCGTGGGGGTCGGAGGCATCCAGGGTGTTCGTTGGGATGTCGCTGGTGGCCTCTTTGGGGCCGTATGGGGGCCTCCTGAGAGCTGTTTTGGGGATTGGGGGGGCGTTTGGGGAGCCTCTTGGGGGTCTCTCGTAGCCTTTTTGGGCCTCCTGGCGCCTTCTTGGGGCATCCTGGGGGGCTTTTGCCCTTGGCTGGGACGTCCTGCGAGAAAGCGCCAGGGGGGGCAAGGGCCACGGGGGAGGCCCTGGAAGATCTGCCCCCCCCTTGCAGAATCTTCAGGATGGAGGAGTGGGGCTCCGGGGATGATCAAGCAACCTGATAACATTCACTCGTGCCTCGCGGGCACGACGGCGGATGAACGCTTGACCCGTTGCAGCGACAGGTCGTCATGGCGCGGGCATCTCTACTTGTCCAGAACAGCGCCCCCCTCCTTTCTCATCCCGCCTCTTTCGTCATCATCCTCTTCCCCCTTTTACCGTATCCCTGCTGCTGCCGCGCTGGTTGTTCGGTTCTCCTGTCCGTCGGTTTCCTGCCCCCATCTCCCGCCCCCCTTCTCTGAGTTCCCCCCCTTCCGTCCTTCTTTTGCCCCGCGTTCTAGCCCCCGTTCCTCTGTGCGCCGAAGGCTTCACTCCTCGTCCTTCTATCGCTGTCCTGAAAGTTGTGAAACGTGAACGCATCGAATGTAGCTTGTACAGCAGATGACGACGTTAGCATGAATGCTGTCCATACACATGTGAGACAACTCTTTCTCGTCACTCAATGATGGTGGGTTAGCTACTTCGCAGGGTAAGTGTCCTTACGTGTCGCTGCTCTCTGCTCCACTGCGGGACTCAGACCCCGCCTAAAAGGCACGAACAAACGAACGAACGAACGAAGATGAGGAGGAGGAGGAGGAGGAGGAGACGGATGAGGAGGAAGAGATAGAACAAGAGAAATCCCCCTAGACTCCCGCGGCGCCTTGTGTAGTACCTTAACACCTGTTTGGGAAGGGGACTGAGAATCAGGAGGAGTGACGCCAGCTCCGCGGGCTCAAACGAATCCGTGGGTCAGGAACCCCCGTGGTGGAGAACACACAGGGCAGCGTAACAGGTACCCAAAGTCTTAATTTGCAAAGGGGTCTATTTGGACGATGATGGTGACGATGACGACGACGATTACGATGACGATGATGTTGCTGATGGTGTTGCTGATCGTGATGGTGATGGTGATGATGGCGATGGTGGTGATGCCAACCATGGTGGTGGTGATGATGAATACGATTACGATGACGACAATGGCGATGATGGTGATGATGACGATGCTGATGATGTTGATGATGGTGATGATGACGATGATGAGGGATAACGATAGTGGCGGCGATGGTTCATGCAATGGGCGTGATTGTGGTGATGCTGATGACGATGGTGAAGATACTCATGATGCTGGTGATGCTGATGGTGATGATTGCGACTGTAATGATTGTCATGTGTGATGATGTGAAGGAGGAGGAGGAGGACAAGAAGAGGAGGAGGACGAGGAGGAGGACGAGGAGGAGACGGTGAGGAGGAGGAGGAGGAGGATTCTAACAAGGGAGGGTCTAACAAGAGAGGAGGAGGAGGAGGAGGAGGAGGAGGAGGAGGAGGAGGAGGAGGAGGAGGAGGAGGAGGAGGAGGAGGAGGAGGAGGAGGAGGAGGAGGAGGAGGAGGAGGAGAGAGGAGGAGGAGGAGGAGGAGGAGGAGGAGGAGGAGGAGGAGGAGGAGGAGGAGGAGGAGGAGGAGGAGGAGGAGGAGGAGGAGGAGGAGGAGGAGGAGGAGGAGGAGGAGGAGGAGGAGGAGGAGGAGGAGGAGGAGGAGGAGGAGGAGGAGGAGGAGGAGGAGGAGGAGGAGGAGGAAGGAGGAGGAGGAGCGAGTGGAGGAGGAAGGAGGAGGATCAGGAGGAGGAGCAGGAGGATGAGGAGGAAGACGACAAGGAGGAGGAGGAGGAGGAGGAGGAGGAGGAGGCGGGAGAGGCGCAGAAGGGGCAGCGGGATAACTCGTTGAGGAGTAGGAGCGGGAGGATGAGAGAGGAGGGTGTCGTGGAGCAGGAGGTGGTGGAGGGGAATTGGGGAGCTATGGCAGGGGTGGAGAGCTCTACGGCCGGCTCGTGCAGAGCGGCAGAGCGATGCACTCATTGGAGCTAAGGCAGGGGTGGAGAGCTCTATGGCCGGCTCGTGCAGCACGTCAAGAAGGCCCTCTCGGGCGGCTCCTTGCTCTGCCTACCATCCAAGTAGATCACAATGTTTCTGAGGCGGAAGAGGAGGGAGGTGCAGGGGGAAGAAGGAGTGATAACAAAAGAAGAGGATGGCGATGGCACCCCCACGAAAGAAAGGAATCTATAGGAGCAGGAGTGGAAATGGAGGAGGAGCAGGAGGACCAGCTGGAGGAGGAGGAGGAGGAGGAGGAGGAGGAGGGGAGGACGAGGAGGAGGCGTAGGCGGAGGAGGAACAGACGCAGGAGGGAGGACAGTAGATGAAACATCGAAGTCGGAGGAATGAGGGGAAGGGGGAGGTGGAGGGGACGAGAAGGAGTCTAACAAGGGAGGAGGGGGAGGGAGGAGGAGGAAGGAGGAGGGAGGAGGAGGAAGGAGGAGGAGCAGGAGCAGGAGGAGGAGGAGGAGGAGGAGGAGGAGGGAGAGGGGGAGGAGGAGGAGGAGGAGGAGGGAGGAGGAGGAGGAGGAGGAGGAGGAGGAAGAGGAGGAGGAGGGGAGGAGCAGGAGCAGGAGGAGCAGAGGAGGAGGGGGAGGAGGAGGAGGGATGAGGAGGGAGGAGGAGGAGGAGGAGGAGGAGGTGATGGGAGGGATGAGAGGATGAGAGGGAGAGGGGGAGGAGGAAGGAGGCGGAGGAGGAGGCGGAGGACGACGACGACGGCGACGGCGTCAAGAACGACAAGGAGGAGGAGGAGGAGGAGGAGGAGGAGGAGGAGGAGGAGGAGGAGTAGAAGGGGAGAGGGAGGGAGAGAGGGAGGGAGGGAGGGCTAACTATGAGGAGGAAGGAGGAGGCGGAGGATGAGGACGAGGAGGAGGAGGAGGAGGGCAGGGGGAGGAAGAGTCGGAGGAGGAGGAAGAGGAGGAGGAGGAGGAGAAGGAGGAGGAGAAGGAGGAGGAGGAGGTGTCGCTTGTACAGGGCGACATGCGCCTCCTACGCGCGGGCTGGTGTGTCGTGCAGGTCGACGACAGTGGGGGCCTCGTGGCGTCCCTGTGCGGCCTGCTGCCTGGCCCGCACCAAGCGTCGGACTTGGCCGAGGCACATGGCCTGCTCATGTATCTCACACGCGCTGGGCTGGGCCCCTTTCGCTACCATTCGGACTGCGATTCGGTGGTCTCAAGCTTCCAGCGTGGCCGTTTCGAGACCACGGGCGCCGCGTGCGAGGGCGTTGACGCGTGGTCTCAGATATGGGATCGCGTGGGCGACCTTGGGGGGGAAGGAGTGCGGAAGTTGAAAGGCCATTCCCGCCGCCGTCACGATGACGAGCAGGAGCTGGGTGCTGTCGCGAGGTGGGGGAACCGCCGCGCCGATGCTGGCGCCCGCGTGGGCGCCTCCCTCCATCTCAAGGATGGCGAGGCCAGCCAGCGTGCGCAGCGCTCCTTTAAGCTGGTCACCTTCGTGGCCAAGTTCCTTGCCAGGACAGTGCAGGCTGTCGGCCCCAAGTCGCAGCAGGCGCCGCGCCGCGGACAGCTGCGGCGGGCCAAGCGACGGGGGCCGACGCCAGCCCTCACGGCGGACACGGAGCCGCCCCCTGATGCCCACTCGCCCGTGCCGTCTCCCACGGGCTTCAGGCGCGCCAGGTGCTTCCGCATCGCTCGGCAACGGGGCGCCTTCATCCCAGCCGTGTGCGCCCCTGGAGGGGGCCACCGCGTCTGGCACGTTGGCCAGTTCGTCTTCTGCGCCTGCTGCGGTGCGCACGCCAGCGAGAATGTGCAGCTCCTGGCGCTCCCTTGCCACGGTGGAGCGCCCCCCAAGACGCGCGCTCTTTTAGACCGTCTCTGGGAGGGACTGCACCCTCGTACTGGGCAGCCGCTGCTGTCGTCTGTGCAGGGACAGCTGAGGCCTCGCCCTTTCGGCGAAGATGTCCTCGACGCCACCTGCGGGGGCCCGGTCGCGGTCGAGGACGAATGCGCCGTGTCGGGCTAGCCTCCTGCCCCTTCCTTGCGCGGCACTCCCGTGTGCGATGTGCCCGAGGCTTTTCCTGTCAGGCTCTTGCCTGAGTCTGTCTGCGTAGCCAGCCCCGCTTGCACGCTTTCAGCCGCGCCTGGAGAAAACAAACAAACTCCTCCTCCTCCTCCTCGACCTCCCCCTCCTCCTCCTCCTCCTCCTCCTCCTCCTCCTCTCCTCCTCGTCCTCCTCCTCCTCCTCCTCCTCCTCCTCCTCCTCCTCCTCCTCCTCCTCCTCCTCCTCCTCCTCCTCCCCCCCCCTCTCCTCCATCTCTGCTCTTTTGTCCTCCTTGCTTACCTCCTGTTCATCCACTCCCTCTTTTCTGAGGGGTTTTTCATTCTTCTGCCACGCCCTCACCTTCCTCCTCAACTTGCCTCCTCTCCAAGATCCTCATCATCCAGCCTTTCCCGTCCTAGTTGAAACCTAGCTCGCGAGAAACACCAGTTCTGGATGTGTTGTCACGTGTTGTTCGACCTGTTCACCTTTTTACCAAGATAAGCATCGACAGGGCACGTGCATGTTCCATCAAGAGCTTCAGGCATCCGGCTCGCATACATAGTTCATGCGAACAAAAGCCATGGCTTGAAACCGCGCTTTCTTCAAAATCTGCCGTTCCACCGTGTGTCCCCAGGGACCTTTGCACGAAGCAGGCCGATGAAGAGACACCATAGTAGTGTCGGCAGCAAGCCAAGGGAGGAAGCGAGAAAGAGAAGGCCTTTTTTCAGAAGGCTCGGAAGTCACCCGCCCTTTTGAGAAGGTGTTTGAGCCTTCCCCGGAGACGCAGAAAACTTCACAGAAGGCCCGAAGGCTTCCGAGAAGTCCTGCCGCCCTCACTCGCAGGCGAATGGTAGTGGCAGGGGCAGCGACAGCAGAGGAAGCGGCAGCGCAGGCGGCAGCTCAGGCGGCACCGAAGACGGCAGCGAAAGAGGGGCGGCAGCAGCGATATAGCCCCGGAGATTCGACTCTGCACAAGCCTTTGCAGCATCGCGCAAAATCATGACCGGAACCCTGGACCCGATCTTTCTGCCTCGACTACACGTAGGAAAGACCTTTCGCCGGAGTGACCTTTGGTGCGGGCTCACCGGGGCCCACCAAACGCTAAGCGCGATGCGATAATGACTTCTTTTGCGCGCTTGGATTTGGCCACCTTGCGACTCCTTAATCCGCGCACTAACGATCATTCTTGCCTAGGGTCACTCTTGCGTGCAGCCGACTGCCGCTTTCTTCGAGCCATATTGATTTGTGATGGTCCCATAGCCCGAACCCTGGCGAAAACGCCCGCAGTGAAAAATAATATAACGCCCTCAGTGGGCGGCGGTGGCAGCGGCAGCAGCGGCAGAAACCAAAGCAGGAACTTCAGTGCAGCACAGCCTGTCTGCAGCAGCTGCGGCGCTGGCGGCGGCGGCAAGTGGCAGCTGCCACTCCGCCGGCAGCTGGCGATCGCGTGCGCACACCGGCGCGCGGCCAAAGGCAGGACGTGGCGGCGGGCTGGATGAGCAGCTGTCGCGGCACCTGTTCAGGCGCGCGGGTGGTGCAGGGCGTGCACCAGGGCGGGGTATGACAGGCTCGAGCATCGAGGTTTGATGAATCAGTTGTTGTCGTCGGATCTCGGCGGCTTTCCAGCCTCGGGGTGCGTTTGCACCGGCTGCGTCTCGCCGAGAGGCGTCCGGGGGCACCAGGATCGTCCCGAACGGCCGTTGGCGAGCCGAGATACGGCCCGAAATGCAAGATCAGGGCGAAGAAGGACAGGCGTACGCAGATGTTTTCGGAGCTCCGCGCGGATCTCCCGAGTTGGCGCTGGCCCCCCTGGCGGCTCCTCCAGCGCCGATCCGCCGACCTCCGAAAGTTTCTGTCCACGAAGTTCGTGTTTCCGCAGTGGAAGCGGCAAGCGTCTGGCTGACGACCGACTAGCCTTGTTTGCCGTTGCTCCAGCATCCGCTGTGCAGGGTGTCCGGGAGAGGGGTCAGCCTGCTCATCCGACTGTCGATTGTGTATTGTGCAGCGCGGTAAGCTCCTGTTTGACCCAAAATGAGGTCCAGCTGAACGGAGGCGGTGCAATAGATTTGGGACAGTTGGATTGCAAATATCTTGTGCCAGAGAGTTGTATGGCATCGTATTGCAGCGAGTGTGTTGCACGCAAAAACAGAGCACTATATTTGCTCCCCAGAATGTATTAATGCACGCCCCAAATCGACTGCAACCCACATGCCAATGGCAGCAACTCTATTGCACCACCCCCTTGTAGCTGGACCCCCACTTGCGTCAACCAGGAAGCTCACCCTTCCGAGACAGCGGCAGGAGTGCGCGAAGGTTGGCCGATGGACTTCCCCGGCCCCATAGACCCAGGGCGAGGGGAGCAGGAGCAGGCGGCGAGGGGGCTCGTTCAGCCGGATTGCATGGCGCCCCAGGCGGGCTTCCTCCCGAGTGCGAGGCAGAGATCGCCGGAGCACGGGCCCAGACCCAGGGCCCCCCCCCGCCCCACCCTTCGGCCAAATTCAGGAGGGGAACAAAAACACACAGACACAATTGATCGTCGATTCCCAGGAAAATATGGAAAAGTATGGGAAGTGGGGGGGAAGACAAAAACCTAGAAAATATAGGAAAGTGTGGGGAATCCTGTTATGTGTGTATTTATTTGTGTGTCCCAGGGCCCCTTCACAAATGCCGAAGCCCAGCATAAAAAACAAAGCCCACGAGCTGGCGCTGCGGCTTGGGCTTCGCAGGAGGCTCGTGAGCGAGGCAGCCCGCGCCCTCTGCATGGTGCCTTGCGTGGACATCAAGAACGTGCAGCGTGTGATCCCACCCTGGCCGGCCAGCACTCTTTGGGGCTGGCGTATCGTGCGCGTCTCCGCGGATCCATAGGCCACTGCTGGTCCGAGGGCCACTCGTAGCTTGCACCATGCTGTGCTGAACTGCCGTATCCCCTGCAGCTCGTAGCGTTCAGACTGACAGGGCTCACTTCGATTCCTCCGAGTCGATTCGATTTGATTTCGATGGCTTCCGATTCCGATTCGATTCGATTTGGGATTCCGGTCTGGATCCCGTTTTCTCATCGGAGGCATAATATTTATTGGTGATTTCCGCCGATTCTACTTCTCCCGACTCGGCTGCCGATCTCCGCCGATCCGATTCATTTCGATCGCCGATCTGACATCGATTTGATTATTGGCCCCTCTGGACTACCACGTGCAGGACTCTGGAGACACGATCACCGTTATGATGTTGATCTGGGGGTAAGACTTAAGCATACCCAGCATCATATGTCAGAACTCCCTTCACTCATCTAGACATCTCTGCCGTCGTTCACTTTATCGTTCTCACAGTGCCAGCCGCGGACATCATCGAGGCAAGGCAGACCCGAGCCACCTCCTGATTCGTTTCCAGCCCCCCCCCCACACACACACAAGAAGGCAGATGCTGCACGCGGTCGGCTACCTGCACAGCAAGGCAGCGTTACTAGCCTTCGCTTTCTGCAGACTGTTCCATCTTGTCCACCCTCTCGAGTCTGCTGGGGCTCCGCCGTCATGTCCTCATGCTAGAGGCATATTCAGAGTTGGTCATTCGCCGAGTCGTGAAGTCACTGTGCCAGTAATGTTTGCGTGTGCGCGTGATGGATTATCCAGTGCCCAGTGACATAGCGACGATATATAGCATAGTACCAGATGTGAAGGTCGGATACAGCCATCGCCCTACGCGTTGCGACGCCACCGAGCCTGCATTAATCTGGATTGGCTGGAGAATCGATCCAGCACGCTTCTGGCCCGACGGGCTTGCGCATATGCTTGAAGCTATCGGGGACGAGGACATGCGCACGAATTGTGATTTGCGAGTGTGAAGCTTGTGGACACTACAGCCGTCCACTCGCCTTCGTCTTTGGGCGAAGTATCCCAGTATGTTTGTCAATCTGCCAGCGAGCCCGAACACTTGTCTGAATCTATAAGGTGCTCACGCCATTCCGAAGACAACCATGACGGTGCATCCGTCAAGGGTGCGGCACCGTGCTTGGCTTGTGAGTCAGGAGCATCGGGGGTGCCTACGAGGATATCCTGAAGTGCCTCCAAGAGGAGGATGAGGAGGAGGAAGAGGAGGAGGAGGAGTCCGTAGCCGGGCCCTCGAGGGCTTCCCGGGGCTCCTGAGGGGCCTCTTGGGTGCCTCTCGGAAGCCTCTTGGAGCCTTCTGGGGGTCCTCTGGCGGTCCCTGGGCGGCGCTTAGGGCCACCACGGCAGGAACGATTCGAGAGGTCAGTTTGTATGGCCCTCTTGGCCACCTCTCGGGACTCTCCTGGGCTGTCTGACCGTCGCGTGAATGTCGTTGATAGTGACATGTTTGATCGCATGTCGGCATCTCGGACGTGCACGCGAACGTGCACGCACGCGCACACGTTTTTGTCGGTGGCGTCTCGGATCTGGGTTGCAGGCGGGCCACGCTGGGGCCCAGGCGAAGCTCACACGCACGCGCGCGCGCATGCGCCCGCGCCCGCGCACGCGCACGCACGCGCGCACTAAGGCGCGAACGTCTCCCGTTCCAGAGCGAGGCGTGACTGTAATGCTGGGACTTCGTCCCTGGGCCCCGTCCCATCCCCCTCCACCCGCCTTACTTTTATGTTTGAAGCCTTACGCGGGATGAGGTTCTCTGTGCCCAGCTTTTGCGAGGGGGAGTGGTTGCAGAAGCTTGCGCCTGCAAGACGGGTGGATTCCAGCACCCATCTTTCTCCGAGGGACAGTGGTTCCAGCAGACCGCGGGATGGGCTCCAGCGCCCAATTTTGACGGGGGAAGTCGTTCCAGCAGATCATGCCGACAAGGCGGGTGGGTTCCAGCACTCATTTCTTTCCGATGGGCAGTGGTTCCAGCAGACCGCGGGATGGGTCCCAGCGCCCAATTTTGACGGGGGGAGACGTTCCAGCAGATCATGCCGACAAGTCTCCAGCACTCATTTCTTTCCGAGGGGCAGTGGTTCCAGCAGACCACGGGATGGGTTCCAGCGCCCAGTTCTGACGGGGAGAAGTCGTTCCAGCAGCTTATGCCTGCAAGATGGGTGGGCTCCAGCACCCAATTTTTCCGAGGGGCAGTGGTTCCAGCAGACCGCGGGATGGGTCCCAGCGCCCAATTTGAGCGGGGGGGACACGTTCCAGAAGATCATGCCGACATGCCGACAAGACGTAACAGCGAAGACTGATAGGTTTCTAATGGTCTCAAAAGAAAGCATCATGACTCCCCAGGGGGGTCTGGGCAGGATCCAGGGAGAATCCGCGGAAGTCGTTTTAAGCAAACAGTTACACACTTCGTGGTCTTCGAGGTCCCAGAACTCCATTCCCGGGCCACATTCTGAATGCCCGGAGCCAACTGTAGGCCACTTCGTGCTCTTCGAGTTCCCAGAACTCCATTCTCGGGCCACATTGTGAATGCCCGGAGCCAGCTGTAGGCTTTTTCGTGTTCTTCGAGTTCCCAGAACTCCATTCCCGGGCCACATTTTGAATGCCCGGAGCCAACTGTAGGCCACGTCGTGGTCTTCGAGTTCCCAGAACTCCATTCCTGGGCATGATTTTGAATGCCCGGAGCCAGCTGTAGGCCTTTTCGTGTTCTTCGAGTTCCCAGAACTCCATTCCCGGGCTACATTTTGAATGCTGAGGCAGGCTGATGCTGAGGCTGAGGCAGGCTGAGGCTGAGGCAGGCTGAGGCTAAGGCCGAGGTTGCAGGCAGACTGAGGCTGAGGCTGAAGCAGGCTGAGGCTGAGGCTGAGGCAGGCTGAGGCTGAGGCTGAGGCAGGCTGATGCTGAGGCAGGCTGAGGCTGAGGCTGAGGCTGATACAGGCTGAGGCTGAGGCAGGCTGAGGCTGAGGCCGAGGCTGAAGGCAGACTGAGGCTGAGGCAGGCTGAGGCTGAGGCTGAGGCAGGCTGATGCTGAGGCAGGCTGAGGCTGAGGCTGAGGCTGATGCAGGCTGAGGCTGAGGCAGGCTGAGGCTGAGGCCGAGGCTGAAGGCAGACTGAGGCTGAGGCTGAAGCAGCTGAGGCTGAGGCTGAGGCTGAGGCTGAGGCTGACTGAGGCTGAGGCTGAGGCTGAGGCTGAGGCTGAGGCTGAGGCTGAGGCTGAGGCAGGCTGAGGCTGAGGCAGGCTGAGGCTGAGGCTGAGGCTGAAGGCTGAGGCTGAGGCTGAGGCTGAAGCAGCTGAGGCTGAGGCTGAGGCAGAGGCTGAGGCTGAGGCTGAGGCTGATGCTGAGGCAGGCTGAGGCTGAGGCTGAGGCTGATGCAGGCTGAGGCTGAGGCAGGCTGAGGCTGAAGGCAGACTGAGGCTGAGGCTGAAGCAGGCTGAGGCTGAGGCTGAGGCAGGCTGAGGCTGAGGCTGAGGCAGGCTGATGCTGAGGCAGGCTGAGGCTGAGGCTGAGGCTGATGCAGGCTGAGGCTGAGGCAGGCTGAGGCTGAGGCAGGCTGAAGGCTGAGGCTGAGGCTGAGGCTGAGGCTGAAGGCTGCTGAGGGCTGAGGCAGGCTGAGGCTGAGGCTGAGGCTGATGCTGAGGCAGGCTGAGGCTGAGGCTGAGGCTGATGCAGGCTGAGGCTGAGGCAGGCTGAGGCTGAGGCCGAGGCTGAAGGCAGACTGAGGCTGAGGCTGAAGCAGGCTGAGGCTGAGGCTGAGGCAGGCTGAGGCTGAGGCTGAGGCAGGCTGATGCTGAGGCAGGCTGAGGCTGAGGCTGAGGCTGATGCAGGCTGAGGCTGAGGCAGGCTGAGGCTGAGGCCGAGGCTGAAGGCAGACTGAGGCTGAGGCTGAAGCAGGCTGAGGCTGAGGCTGAGGCAGGCTGAGGCTGAGGCTGAGGCAGGCTGATGCTGAGGCAGGCTGAGGCTGAGGCTGAGGCTGATGCAGGCTGAGGCTGAGGCAGGCTGAGGCTGAGGCCGAGGCTGAAGGCAGACTGATGCTGAGGCTGAAGCAGGCTGAGGCTGAGGCTGAGGCAGGCTGAGGCTGAGGCAGGCTGAGGCTGAGGCTGTGAGGCTGAGGCTGTGACTGCGACGTTGCCACTGCGACTGTCATCGCGAATGCGACTACGACTGCGAGAACAGCAGAATTCTACAACTGGATTCTCATCTGAATCTTAAGGGGAATGCTTCCAGATACGCTCCTACACATCGCTGTTAGGTTGCTTTGCCGGGATCGTTTTCGAGAGGCAGTGGTCCCATCAGCCCGCGGGGTGGGTTTCATAATCCTACTTTGACGAGGGAAGGCCGTTCCAGCAGATAGTAACGATAACACAGGTGGACTGTCGCCTGAAAGGGAAGCCAGAGCGACCCGCGTCTCAGCCACGAACCCACCTACAGTCCGTCAAACACTCAATGGCAAATATTCTCCTAACTGTAGGAGGGCCCGGGGCCATCTTTAGCCCCTCTTGGGGATGTATTGGGCCGTGTGGGAGCCCTCTTGCGGGCTTCATGGACCGTCTTGGGACGATCTTGGCGGCTCCTTGGGCCCCAGTGGATGCTGTTAAGACGAAAAAGGTCTGCGCATGTCAAGAATGCACCCATTCCTCGGGGAATGGGGCGATGTTTGCCTCCTCGGGCCCTCTCTGCGGTGCTCTTGGAGGCTCCAGCGAGCCCCTGGGGTGCGTTGGGGAGCCCGACCCCCCACCTCTACTAATGCGATTGTTGGCCCCGGGGAGGGGGACACCCCATCATCTTTCACGCTTTCTCACCCGCAGCATGCGGGGGTCGGCGGATTACAATCGTTCCTTGTTCGCTGTCCTGGCGCACATCCCTTACGCGGTTACATGAATCAATGTAGTTCGATTGCTCAGCTTGGTTCCAGTTCAATGTATGCTTTCCAATTTTTCTGTTGGTCATAGTTGCCAGCCGTTTGTGTAATTGTTATGAAGGGTTCTGTGCTTGTGTGCGTATGTGTTGTTTGGAGTGTCTTCGAGAACGGCTTAGAAAACTTCTCAGGAGGTTGGGGGACTGTCAAGCCTTCTGAGAAGGCCAGCTCCTTCTCGCTTCCCCCCTGGGCTCGCCGCCGAGTTTGGCATGATTTCCGATCCCGAACCAAACCCCGGATCGGTTTTGGAATGTTCTGGAGGTCGCCGCGGCGATCGCGGCGGCCACAACTCGGGGCAAGGTCTTTGTCGAGGAGTGGCATCGCCTTTCCCCCGCTCCGCGATGCAGGCGTGGCTCGCTCACATAGTAGACGACCTGGCCACAGAGAAGTGCCCCTCGATGTCCAACATGAGCAGTTGTGCTTGTCTTCGTCTTCTGCTGAGGGGCCGGCTGCCAGGCAGTCGGGAGAGATCCGCGGGGGCCACGCACGCCGCGCGCAGGGCCACACGGCACCCTCGCATGCCCCGGCTCACCCTGCGGCAGCCGCCCCCCGCCGCGCGCCGGCGTCCGGGCCCCCCCGGTCGGCGCGCCCTCCCTTTCTGCCCCTGCACACCTCCGCTCGCCTGCCCGCCCGCCAGGGTCCAGCTCGATGCGGTCGGCGATCGATCCGACGCGATGTCGGCTCCGGCCAGCCCGATCCGATTCGGCTCCGAGATACCCTGCGATCGGGTGTGGCTTCAGGAGGGAAAAAAGCACACAGACACAATGAATCGTCGATTCAGGGCCCCTTCAGTGGCCCGACGCTCCCACGGCGCTATCGTGCAGCCCCGCGCAGCCGATGCGCCTCGATCTCGATCCGGTGCCCGTGCGGCCCGATCCGGTGCACGCTGTGCTTCGGCTGGATTCGCCGATACGATGCTGACTGATCCTGCTTGGCGGGCTCCCGCCGCTCTGGAGGGTTCTTTCCGAAGGGCTTAGGCGACCCGTCCTCCTCCTCCTCCTCCTCCTCCTCCTCCACCTCGTCCTCCTCCTCCACCTCCTCCTCCTCCTCGGGTCGCCTACGGCCCCTGGGGAAACCATGCACGCCGCTCCCCCCAGCGCATCGTGCACCGCGACATCAAGACCGAGAATTTCCTGCTGGTGGACGAGGACGGTTGGCCACAGGCGCCCCAGAGCGGCCTCCGGCCTTCGCTCCTCCGGGGCCACGTTCGGGGGGGGGGCGCCTCGCCCCTCGATCGTCGAGAGAGAGGGTGATCCACCGCCGCTTTACTGTTAAAAATTCCCCCCCCCTCTTCCTCGGGAACCCGGGGGCCACCCCCCCTCCCCGAAAATCCCCTCCCCCTGCTGGACCCTCCCCCCCCCTCCTTCCCCCCGGCAAGACCCCCCCCTCCCCTAACCCCTACCCCCCCCTACGGAAAACCAAAGGGGGGTCACTACCCGTTCGAACCCTCCCCCACCCCCAGGAAACCAGAGAGGGGTCACTACCGGCTCGAAAGACCCCCCCCTCCCCTAACCCCTACCCCCCCCTACGGAAAACCAAAGGGGGGTCACTACCCGTTCGAACCCTCCCCCACCCCCAGGAAACCAGAGAGGGGTCACTACCGGCTCGAATCCCCCCCCCTCCAGAAAACCGGGGGGGTCACTACCGGTTCCCACCAGTACAGCGAGGGGACAGCGCTGAACACCACGGAGCCCGCGACCGAGATCTTCCAGACCCCCTGGTCGAGCTTCAAGGTCATGGCGGTGGGGCACATCATTATCAGTGGGTTTCAGATAATGATGACGAACTCCGTACAATACATTCGAGACCTCCACTCCCTCCTCACGCCTGATGAGTCCAATTTTCAGCTATGGGCGAAACAACATCCAGTTTTTCTTCAGGTACGAGGAGCAAAGGAGGACAGGTGCTCGACTCACGAAGCACACAATGACAAGTCATATTTCAAGACCTCAGGTGGGGCAGGCATGGGTCAACGTGGGAAGCAGAGTTCTTGCAGAATTCTCAATTTTTGGTGGAAGGCTATGCCTTACATCGGCCTACTTTACAGACTTGCGACGTGGTACTCATATGCGCTGTGGCATCTCGACGGTAACGCGTGGGAGATGAGCGGCAACAATTTTGACGACAACAACAAACATCTCGAGAATGGGGTGAGGGTGTCCCTTTCAATGCTGTGGCGTCTCGACGGACTCGCGTGGGAGACGAGCGGCAAGAATTTTGATGACATCAACAGACATCTCGAGAATGGTGTGAGGGTGTCCTTTCAATGCTGTGGCGTCTCGACAACTCAACGTGGGAGACGAGCAGCACAACAACATACGACGAAGATCCAGACGGCATCACTACACATCGGGTCATCCTTTCACCACGCGACATTCTCAACCAGCTCTGCACTGTGACGACACTAATGAGCGAAAATGGAAGGGCGGCCGCAGGCCACTCTATCTTCCCTCTCTGGGCAGGTGTTAGCCTGCGATCCTCCCCTGCGGGCGGGAGTCACTCATGTCCAGACTGTCCTAGCACATCTCAACACAGAACGACACGCGACATGATCCACCATATCTGCATGAAGGCGATGCTCAACATCAGCCTACTTTTCAGACTCGCGACGTGATACTCATATGCGCTGTGGCATCTCGACGGTAACGCGTGGGAGATGAGCGGCACAAATTTTGACGACATCAACAGACATCTCGAGCAGGGGGTGAAGGTGTCCTTTTCTATGCTGCGGCGTCTCGACGGACTCGCGTGGGAGACGAGCGGCAAGAATTTTGATGACATCAACAGACATCTCGAGAATGGTGTGAGGGTGTCCTTTTCAATGCTGCGGCGCCTCGACAACTCAACGCGGGAGACGAGCAGCACAACGCTAAACGACGAAGATCCAGACGGCATCGCTACACATCGGGTCATCCCTCCACGACGCGACGCGCTCAGCATTGTGACGACACTAACGAGCGAAGATGGAAGGGCGGCTGCAGGTCACTCTATCTTCCCTCTTTGGGCAGGTGTTTACCTGCGATCCCCCCCCCCCCGCGGGCGGGAGCCACTCATGCCTAGACTGTCTCAGCGCATCTCAACGCAGAACGACGCGCGACGTGCCCCACCAGCTCTGCACCACGACGCCGAATATGAGCGAAGGCGGAAGGGCGGCAGCAGGTCACTCCACCCCCCCTCTCTGGGCAGGTGCTAACCTGCGATCCCCCCCCCCCCCCCCCCGCGGGCGGGAGCCAGTCACGGCCAGACTTGCGCAGGGCCATATTTCATTCACATGTCTTATGGTGCCGCCGCATCAAGAACGCCAGAAGCCATCAAACGCAGCAGGCGGCCCAATCTCAATGCCGCGCCGAACGCGGCAACGGAGCTCCCAACACCGAGACCAAGCGCCATCGCCAGGGCCCTGCCTTCGCAGCCAAGACGGCCAAATTGGCCAGGATCACTGCAAACGCCCGCTCAGTCAGCATCCTCGCCATAGCCTTGAACCTCGAAATGACCGCTCCACTCCAGAAGAAACTCGCCGAGACTCCGAAGACCTTCATCGCGATTATGAAGCTGTTCAAATCCGACCAGAAGGAAGCCAAAGCTATGCTCAAGAAGTGGATCGGCAACAACAAGACTCAGGAGGCTAGCCCTCCACCCAAGAAAAAAGCAAAAGAAGCCTTCCCCCCCTGCACCAGCCCCAGAACAGCGCGGCGACAAGGTGTACGAAGAAGGACTCGAACTACGCGATGTATGGGCCACTCCTCTCCTCACGACAATCCCAAACTCCGACGCATCGGGCATCTTCCTAGCTCAATGCGACAACGAGGTCCTGGAGATCCTGGAGAACGTAGAGGACTTACAAGACGCGCGCGCGCCGAACTTCGCCATGTTGGCCACTACGACACCTTCTCAGGCCCTCAAGGCCGCGATCCTCGCATACGAACTTCAGCCGGCTACCGCGGCGATTCCTGTCTTCTAGAACGGCAGGAAACGCGGCCAAGATTACAGGATCCCAACGATACGGAACGGATTTCTCCTCGCTCTAGGAGGCGCCTCTGACCCAGACGGGACCACACGAGAGACGTTCACGCGAAAAGAGGAAGTACGGAAAGCCCCGAAGTGGGCTCTGACATACATCAACTCCATCGTGGTGATCTCCGAACCCTACAACCCCTCGCTCTTCTAGGCCCTTCTGAACGTCCAGAAGGAAGGCGAGGGCGCCCACGAATCCCCACGAAAAGATCAAGGCCAATCCCGACCTCCAAGCCTCAGAGAAAGAGCAGCTCTGGAACCAGGTGCGCAAGATCAAGACGGAAGTCAAATCTGCTGTACAGGCGCGCATAACTACGCTCTTCAACGGCCGGGCCCCAAGCAAGCAGCCGACGCGCGAGGGCCTCGACGTGACGGTGAACAGCGTCCAACTCACAGAGGGCGAGGCTGCGAACCAACGATCTCTTCGGTGCGACATCGCACTCCGCAACGAGACCCTCGGACTTCTACGAACGAACAGGGGAAAGGAGGGCATCTTCACCGACGCGCCGGCCTACGACGACAGCGTCAAGAAACGGGACAGAATCAGAAGTATCCTTTGGCAGCGCGAGCATCAGGCTGGTCAGTGCCAGAAGCATGGGCGGAACTTGAGAAGCTCAATGGCAACGCTTTCGGACTGCGATTGAATCGAGACGGCTTATCTTTCCAGTTGCGCATCGCCAAGGGCGCCAAGGAAGAATGGTGGCAAACCCTTCGCGCCCGACAGCCCCCCGGAACAGAACGGTGGACCATGGGCAAGGTACCGGCGCACATTCCGAACGCTTCCATCATCCAGCTCCTCAAGGACACGATCGACTGGCGAGTGGAAGGACCTACTTCAACCCGACGGGGCCGCTTCAAGAAAGTCACAGTACGAGCACACGAAGCCCCCAATGTCGATGTCATCGATATCCACGGCACCGAGATCACCATCGCGAAGGAACCCGATACTGATACGGACAGCCAGGACATCAGCATGGACAAGATCGAAATAGACAAACAGCAATTCATGGGCACTTTCACTGAGGAGAAAGCAGCCAAGAAGATCCTTGCCAATTCGGACACGATGCCGAACCACATGCGTGAATATGCTTGGAGAGTATTGGAGCAGACAGGCGGAAGCTTCTACAAGCCGTTGCGCCGTGCACCTGCGCCACTACTTGTGCCATCGCAACCCCCTCGACTGCTTCGCCAACCCCATGGGGGCCAGCCGACGGTGCCTCCACAGCTCGTGGACCAGCTGACCCAGGCTCTCGAGCAGATGAACGCCACGATGCAGCGACGTCAAGGAATGATGTTGACTATGGGGAAAGGCGGAGGACCACGACCCGCTGGACAACCATATCCGACTGAAGAAGTACCACGACGGGCGGCTGGCTCAGCAGCGACACCACTCCCGGATCCACTCCTGGAGCGGTCGAGGCAGGAGCCCCCACTCACTGACAAACTATCGATTGGCTGCTCCCAGTTCTTCTCGGCATTCTACTTTTCTAAGCCATATCTGCTCGCTCTCCAACAGACCCGACTTACCGACCTGGCCAGCCAGAAAGCGACTCGGTTTTCAGATTCGAAGGGTTTTCAATCGATCTTTGGCAAGCCGATGCCGATGCAGAAAACGAAACCGAAGTCATGCCCGACCCCCGACGGTGCCAGCCGACACGGAGGCGTAGCAGTACTATCAAGTTCTGCAACGGCCCCTGGGATACAGCCCTGCTCAGCAGCATCACTTCCAGCACGCCAACTATACGAACAATCTCGATACGTCCGAGCGGCACTCCCAGTATCTCGGGGGGACATGGCCTACTTCCTACATGTTGCGTGTCTCTACAACTGCCAGGGACACCTCCGAAACGAAAGATACTTGGATAAGGCCTTTGAGGGCTGTGTAGCTGTGGGAGATCAGCCAGTATTGCTCTGCGCCGACACTAACCTAGCGTCTACCTCAGTCGTGATTCAAGACACTGTGGCAACAGGAAGATGTATCGACCTCGGCCGCCGCTTTGCTACAGAAGATGGAATGGAACCAACCTACTGTGGTCAGACTGGATGGGACAAAGTCACTTGGGGAAGGTACGTCTCGCGCCCAGATTACATCTTTGCCAATCCTGCAGCAGCAGCTCTGGTTACTTCCCACGCAGTAACACGTGATTCG